GGCTGTGATGTGGGTGGTGAAGCAGAGGGGTAATAAGGTGGCGTATACACCTGGGCACTCTAAGAACTGTCACATTGCCACCAGCCTCAGCCATTGCCACCAGCCCTCAGCCTTTGGCTCAAGCTTTTAGCTCTCATGGCTAATACACCAGAGACTGAACCAGGAGTTTCTAAAGCACAAGCTGCTACAGCATCAGCGAAGGAGCCAGTTCTCTGTGGGTGGGGCTGTCACAGCTCCTCGCCCCTGTGGGTCGGTATGGGGCGGAGCAGCAGCTGGGACACACACTCCCCAGTGAGTTACACAATAACCCTAAATAGTGAAGAGGAGTCTGATAGAGCTCTCCCAGTGCTCTAAAAAAACCACCTGAACAAGGGGCATCGCTCCCAGCATCCCCGAACGAGAAAGTTACAGCGCTGTTAATTGCCAGTGTAGACAAACCCTAAGTTAGGGAGTTTGTTTTGAATCCTACTAAGCTTCGCTGGGCTGAGCTCCTCCCCCAAAGGTAACAAGCACTCTAGCTATAGGGTAGTGTCCTTTTCAGGGTCCCGCCCCCCTTTACCCCTCTCCTCACATCCCCCAGACTCGGGCCAAGGCCGGGGGCTGGGAGTGGGGCCAGGAATGGAGCCGTGGCCAAGGCTGAGGCTGGGGGTCGAGGCCAGAACTGGAACCCAGGCTGTGGCTGGGGGCAGGAGCAGAGCAGAGCTGGGAGTGTAGAGCTGGGTGGTATTCCCTCCCCACCATGTGGGCTGTCCCAGGCCCCGCCACGCCCCTCCCACAAATGGTTCTCCACGCTGACCCCAGGGAAGCATGGTCACAGTATGGGGACCTCTGCCTTCCACAGGCATGGAAGCTGGAAGCCGTTCGGGATGACCCCTTCTTGCCCTCTGGAGGGTTATTGGCCAGTCACCCCACTCCACTCAATAATCATCAGCTGAGAGGCACCACAGAATTGTTAGACTCAGAATGTCGCCATTCCCCAAACGCAGCTCCCATGCGAAGGTCTCTCACTGAAGGAGTTTGCCCCATTTCCCCATCACCTCACAGAGGACTAGGTGAGAAGAGGCAGCACCGTAATGCTTGGCTTCGGGCCATTACAGTGAACTTTGTGACTGGCTGGTAACCCAATATTTATTCCCTACCCTAGTTTCATTTTCTCCTTGCTGAGTCATGTTGTGCCCCCCCTTGTCCTGCACTATTCTTCCCAAAAGTCTATGGGCCAGAGACAGGCAGGTCCATCGAGAGAAATATGGAGCCTGGTACATTCATGTTCCCTGAGGCCCCAAGCCTTTCCATCTAACTTTATGTACACAGCGTTTTTTTGGTGGCCCTGATCTTGCAGCCCCAATACTGTTCTCCATTTCCTCCCTTCTTGTCAGCCCTGGAGACAGGAGCTCTGGTCTGCAAGTAGAGGGCAGCACAGTATCTGTGAAAAGTTTGGCAAACAGCAAGAACGTTTCTTTAAACCAAAACAAACACGGGAGAAGAAATTGGATGTAACCGGATGTAACCCTTCTGCCAGGAGTCGGCAGTAACAAGGGCTAGGTTCAGGGTTCCTCTTAACAATACCAAACAGAACTGGCTCGAGCCCCCACCTTGGGTGCCTCCAAGAGGCAATGCTTCCCCTCTCGCAAGCACTGAGTGGGGAAAGGAACTCAGCATTAATCTGAAAAACACCACAAGCACCATTCAAAGGCATGTGACCCATGAGCAAACACCCCCTGCCCAGAGTACATTGGGCAGTGTCCTTTGCCTCAGTTTCTCACCTTGTGGTGTGAAAGTCTGACAAACAAATGATCCTTTAACACGTCAGTTCCCTCTCCCTCTGCTGCACCCACCTCACAGTTCCTGCCCTTGCTCAGCGAGGACCCAGCTTCAGAGGTGAATTCACATGAGTTCACCTCCAACCCCGGAGGCATCGAGCAACACCTCAGCTACTGTAGCCACCGCTGCAACTGGCTCATGCTGCCATTCAGCCAGCCTTGCTGCCAGCTCCTGGCATCATAGCCCCTGCTCCACCATTTGCTCCGCTGCCATTAGCCACTGGGCCATTGCTGCTCTGTCGCACCCTCGGCAAGGCTATGTCTTGAGGTCCCACCGCTTAACCGAGCTCTCAGTGATTTCAGTAGTTAGTGCAGAACCTCACCACTAGCACAGGCTAGACAATCTCATTCACTGAAACACTGCCCCCGGGGACATCTAAGGCTCAGCACTTAAAAATGCAGTTATCAGTTTGTCAGCTCTAGCAATCATCAGACCAAACAAGGACACTCAATTGAGCGTAATCACATGTGCTTTTAAACAGCAGCATAGGCGCCGACTTTCCCTCTGCCCGGTGGGTGCTCGACCCCCCAGACTCTGGCCCCACCCCTTCCTGCCCCTGCCCCAACCTCACCCCCATTCCACCCCCTTCCCTCAAGTCACCACCCCTGCCCCACCTCTTCTCCACCTCCTCCCCCTAGCGCGCCATGTCCCCACTCCCTCCCAGAAAGTCCTAAGTGCCACCAAACAGCTGTTAGGTGGTGGGCGGGAGGTGCTGGGAGGGAGGGAGAGGAGCAGGGATGCAGGCACACATGGCGGAGGAGGAGGGGGAGCTTGGCTCCCTGTGGTTGCGGAGCACTCAGTAATTTTCCCCCTTGAGTTCTCTAGCCCCGGAGCACCCACGAAGTCAGTGCCTATGAACAGCAGGAAGAAAGAGAACTATGACAAAAGCCACATCACTAGACAAAAACACCTGCCACTGTCTTAGAATATCAGGATTGGGAGGGACCTCAGGAGATCATCTAGTCCTACCCCTTGCTCAAAGCAGGACCAACACCAACTAATTCCCCAAATGGCCCTCTCAAGGACTGAGCTCGCAATCCTGGGTTTAGCAGGCCAATGCTCAAACCACTGAGCTATCCCTCCCCCCCTCTTTTTTTTTCTTACAGGGATGTAGCATCCTTACCTCCTACTTAGCAAGTGCAGTTCAGTTGAGAGTGACTGCCTGATTCAGGGCCGGCTAAGCGTCGTTCTGCTGCCCTTTACTCATCCAATAAGAATACCAACATGTCACTAGCCCTGCACTAGAGTGACTGGTATCCCAACACCAGCCAAAATAGGTCACCAGGGAAAAGCAGCCCCACCTGCTGAGCAGCTGGGCAGAGTGGGCGTGTCTATGCAAAGCCAGTCTGCTCCCGAAGGATTCCCCCAGCTCATCACTAGATGGCAGGGGAGAGCTCACTCAGACCCTGCTGACACAGATTGCAGAGAAGGGATAGATTTTCAAGGATGACAAAATATTTTCCCAGCAGCGTAACTGGATTCCCGTAACTGTGACAAACCTCTTTCACTTTCAGTTTATTCTCTCTTGGATACAGAGGCTGCTCTGCTCAGATCAGGGATGCCCCTATAAATGTTTCCCAGGGTATGCACATGTATGGTGTGAGCCAGGGAGTTCCCAGGTGTCACCACCAACCCCTATGGAGCCATCCCTTTTCAGCAGCTGGGCCCCACACATCACCCTGCTGAGAACACATTACTCTTAGCCCCCGCTGGGTAGCAGAGCAAGCTGGATGGGTCCATCCTGAGTGGCACCACAACTCCATGTGCCAGATCACAATGCAACTTGGTTTGGGGGCCCTCTCAAACAAGGATGTGGGGCAAACTGCCCCTTTTGCCCCTGCCTCCCAGTGGCCCTGCTGCCAATGATATGCACTGTGCTTAACCTGCATACAGCTGCAAGCACTGTGGCTCACATGTGCAATGCACCATGTAGACTGAAACCTGAGGCCTGAATACCGCAGGGCATGCTGGGTGTTGCTGTGAGGAAGCAACTGTTGGACATTCTGCCTGTCAGAGCCCAGGGCTGGGTTCATCTGCAACTCTGCACCATGGGGGCTGCACTGCATGGGGGAAAACCCGGAGCTCAGCAGCTGCAGTACCCACCATGCCCTGGTCCAATGTAACAGGGCAGGGAAGGTCCCCCAGAAGGCAGGAGAGCTGGTCTGGGTGGTGCTGGAGGGACTCAGGGTCAGGGGCACTGGAAAAGGGGTGGCCAGGGGGCCATGGCCCTCATACTTTTTACTGGCCATAAGGGGACCGGGGTGGGGGAGGGAGCAGAGAGGAATGAGTGGAGGGGGTCCTCATGGTAAGGGGTAGTGTAAGGGTGAGGGATCAGGGGTAAGGGGCAGCATGGAGGCAGAGCCTCTGGGAGAAAGGGTGGCACAAGGGCAGTGCCTCAGGGGAAGGGGCGGTGTGGGGGCGGGAGCTTAGGGAGAAAGGGAGTCACAGGGGTTTTGGGCACCGCCTTAGGTGACCTTCTGCGGTTTCTGCTTGGGGTCACCACAAATCCCACATCATCACACAGGATCATCTTAGCCATGCTTTGGTCTGTTGCTATCACAACTCTGTCCCCTCCCCAGGCAGTGTGCGAGCTCCCGGTTCAGATACACTCAGCTCCGCCTCCTGTCTTTCCATGTTACACTTCCTCTGTGGAGCCTGTCTATAGTGATCCAGCCACCTCCCACTGCCTCTCCCCCACCAGGCACACTGTGAGATGTCAGCCCAGGGCTCAGTTCAACCTGGCTGTGATAAACAGAGGGGTGAGGTTACATACCAGGTCCTTTCCCCAGACAAAACTAAACACAATGACCCTGTAAACCTCGTAATGCTGTGTCAGCATAACCCCAGGAACCCCTTTATGCCAACTGGCAAAGGGCACAGGGGATCACAGGCTAAATATGAGTCAACAATGTAACACTTGGAAAAAAAGTGATCATCATTCTGGGATGTATTAGCAGTAGTGTTGTATAAGAAGTAATTCTTCTGCTCTGCTCCACCCCGGATAGGCCTCAATTGGAGTATTGTGTCCAGTTCTGGGCACCACATTTCAGGAAAGATGTAGACAAATTGGAGAAAGTCCAGAGAAGAACAAAATTGATTAATGAAAACATGACTTATGAGGGAGGATTGAAAATTTAGGTTTGTTTAGTCTAGAGAAGAGAAGACTGAGGGGGGATGTGATAACAGTTTTCAAGTTCATAAAAGGTTGTTACAAGGAGGAAGAAGAAAAATTGTTCTTCTTAACCTCTGAGGATAGGATAAGAAGCAACAGGCAGCGTTTCGGGATGTGTCATCTTCCAGGCGGAACATCTTGCTGCTGGAGAGGCTTAAGCCTTATTACCTTAAGCCTCTGTCATAAGGAGGAGATGGTAGAAAAGTCAGCAGCTTTCCCAGCATGCATTGCTCCTATTGTGTTTGAGTAGAGCTGAGCTGAAGTGAGAGTCCAGCTGCAGGTGAGAAACTCAGACAGCCCATAGAGTCCATGGCAATAGGTTTGGGCTGACCTCTGGGCCAGACCTCCAGCTGACATAAATTGGACCATTGACTCCAGTGGCACAGGACCAGTTTACTGCAGCTGGGGATCCGGCCCTTTGACTACAATGGAGCTATGGCCAATTGATATCAGTGGTGACCTGGACCCTCTGTATTTATGTGAACAAAAGAATTAATTCTGTTCTTTGTTTAGAAGTGACTCTCCTCAGGACAGTTTTTAGTATTATGAAGTTTTATTAGATTTCACAGCACCCAGAATGTACGTGCCTTTGTCTGAGAGAGACACAAGGGTACAGTTTATGCACTCAGGGACTTAGCATCTTCCCACAGATGTGACAGGTGATATGGGAAGAAAGGGCAGGGGCCAACCAACATTGCTACAGACAGTAGAAATATCAAACTTTGCCCCTCCTTACCCCCCATCCCTGCTGCTATTTCCAATGTGGTTCTGTCCCTCTAGCTGGTGTAGGTCTCAGGCTGTGTGGATGGTGCATTGTGGGGGTTTAGCTGGTGTAGGTCTCAGGCTGTCTGGATGGTGCATTGCAGCGGTTTAGCTGGTGTAGGTCTCAGGCTGTGGGGATTGTGCATTGAGGGGGTTTAGCTGGTGTGGGTCTCAGGCTGTGTGGATGGTGCATTGTGGGGGTTTAGCTGCTGTAGGTCTCAGGCTGTGTGGATGGTGCATTGCTGGGATTTAGCTTGTGTAGGTCTCAGGATGTCTGGATGGTACAAAAGGAAGGTTTTTTTTCACCCAACGCACAGGGGATGGATCATGTGATGATTACCTGTCTGTTCATTCCCTCTGGGGAACCTGGCATTGGCCACTGTCAGAAGACAGGATACTGGGCTAGATGGACCTTTGGTCTTACCCAATATGGCCGTTCTTATGTTTCCCATCAGCTCCAGAACAGGGCTGCGTAGTCCCAGATACAGGGCTGGCAACTGGTGCTGCAAAACCCTCCCACAAGCCTTCCTGACCCCTCCCATATCAACATATGCAAACGCCTGGCTCCAGCTCCCGGGAATAGGACACTTGGAGCAGCTGTGGGGTATGGGAATTTTCGTGCATGTGTCTATGACCAGACTGCCAACAGCAGGACTCGGCTCTGGCCCCTTGACTCAACCTCAGCAGCACCTTGCTCTGCAAGGACCCCCATTGGGAGTAACTTGCAAAGCATGGCCAGAATGACCAGAGGAGCCCAGAACCCACAGTCAGGCCAGTTTGTGAGAACAGCTGGGAGCATGTTTGGAAATCTGTGGGTGCTGGGCCCCCCGGAATTGTGATGCTGAGAATCTAGTCACTCAGGAGGTGAAGCCCCCTCCTCAGAGGCCAGAATACCACGTAGGTTATATTTAATAGAATCATAGAAGATTAGGGTTGGAAGAGACCTCAGAAGGTCATCTAGTCCAACCCCTGCTCAAAGCAGAACCAACCCCAACTAAATCCCATTTTGGGAGCTTTGGTGGGGTTCATACTGACTCTGTGCACAAGGGGAATTTCATCCAATGTGGCTAAGAGTGGTCAGATCAGGCCCAAATGCAGAATCAGGCCCTCTGGTCTTCCCACCAGTCATCTTTACTGCTTGTCAGCTGGCTTTGGAATGGTTCTGCTGCTGAGCTTTGTTACTACTCAGGTTCTTGGCACAGCCCAGGGACTGAGCAGTGATTGTGTCCCGTGGGTTCTCTGGTGACCTTCTTTCTGTGGCCCTGAGCCCATTATTTGCTTTGTTCAGGAACAGCTATACAGGTTGATTTTTTTTCCCCTGGACAAAACAATATAATAATCTGAACAGAAAAGATGGGGGGGAAGTCCACTGAAAATTTGCCCTCTGCGGGTCCTGGATTCTGCATGAAGAGCATTCCAAGTCAGGGTGGTGTCTCCCTCTCGTTTGGGATTTCTGAGACAGGAACGCCGTTTTCAGGTGGGTTACTGGGTCAGCTTCTGAGAGAAGCGGGGGAGCGGAGAAGATAGCTGCTGGGAGCAAGGTGGCTGTGTAGTGTAGGAGGGAGGAGAACCTCTCTCTTCAATTAATATTCTAAGGGCAGCTTTGCTGTGATTGGACATAGTGGCAGAAATCTGAAAGCTATGTAAGGTAACAACAAGGGCAGTTGTGTTTCTCCCAAGTCGGTCCTTTTGATAGGTTCTGGACAGAGGCCTGTGGCCACGCATGATGTGGTAGAGACTCTCCAATTCTTTGCAGCTCATTCTGCCCTCGCAGATTTCCAGTGCATACTGGAGGTGGTGCAGGTTGTTGTCAAAGGGGTTGGAGAACATGAGGATAAATGAGAAACCGGCCCACTCATAGGTGAGAGCCCCTGCAACTCCCCAGGCACTGAGGTTCCTTTTCACAAACACACAGGTCTCCTTGCAGCCAGGGCTGATGGCTGGTGCAGGGGGGATGAAGGTGTGACCGCTGTAACAGAAAAAGCTGTGGGGAGACAAGAATTCTGTTTGTGACAGTGCATCCTCAGCAGGAGGTCATTAGAATCAACCATGAGTTAAAGCAGAGACGGCGTTTAGTCACCTGATTGCAGCATTGACAGTGTTGAGAACTCTCACAATTTTATCAGCAGTTTTATGAATCTGGGTGTCTCTCTTAAAGCTCAGCTGCTGGAATCTCAGCTTTCATTTGTTTACAAAAGAAGTCTAATTGTAGGGATTGGGTGGTATCCCTTTAAATAGTTTGTGAGCCCTCTCGTGGTGCTCACTGTGTTTGGTATTTTAGAAGTCACCCCAAACTAGTCAGAGCTGTAGTTGGTGGGTAGCTGGGCCTGTAAAGCTGGCAAACAGAGTCGCTAAACAGAGTTATCAGGGACTCAGCTGCTCTGTGGTTTCTTTGTAGTTTTACTATTGGACAAGGCACAGACACAGCACTAGCCTCTGGGGTGGAGACAAAAGCTGGGAAACATGACCAGAAAGCCAAAGAAAAAGCCCCCAACATTCATTCTTTCAGTGTTTCCATGTCTGGCAATTCCCTGGCAGCGAGGTGGGTTTGGCCCCTGCAGGCACTCATGACAATGATGTAAACACTCATGCTATTCTATTCCATACTATTCTAAATAGGTTCTTATATGTAGGTTCTCCTGAGTGTCTGGCTCAGGGGACACTGCCTCTGATTGGCTCCCTTCTTCCTGGAGAAGAGCAGCCAATCAGGATTGCTGCCAATGTCCCTCCACCCCTCAGGAACCGAGAGGTGTTTTTGGGTGGGGGGATGGGCAGATGAATACATTGCTCATGGCAGGGGAGGAGGGAATGGAAAGAGCTCAGCAGCTCAGGACAACTCTGCTCCCCCTCCCCTGCTATAAGCAATAGGCCAGTCTGTTCAACCCCTCTCCTCTCCCTCCCAGCAGCATCCAGCCTGGGAAAGGGGACAGGAGGGTTAAGACCCCCTGGAACTCCCAGAAGTCAAAACTGATGTGGGGTGTGTGTGGAGTGGGGGCATGATGAACTGCTGGCTTGGGGGAAAGAGCCACTGTGGGGCTGGGAGTACAGGATTCCTTTATTACAGGGATTGGGGGATTAAATGGATGTTGTCATGCTGAAAGGGGCTAGTGGCTGCCAGCAAGGGGTGTCCAAAGACAATCCCAGACCTTGTTTGAGACAACAGGGGCCAAGCCCCCTTCTACAGGCTCCTGCAGGCTGTAAAAACAGCTGGTGCTGAGGGGGAGCATCAAAGATACCAGATCTCATGACAGGGCAGAGCTAGGACATGGTGTGGGGGGGGCTTCACTTGGGAGTTTACACCCTCCCTCTAATCTCCCTCCCTCTTAAATATTTGTGCCCAACTTCTAATTGGAATTTATCTGACTTCAGCTTCCAGTCATTGGTTCTTGTTTTGCCTTTCTCTGCTAGATTAAAGAGTCCTTTAGTACCAGGATTTTCTCTCTGCAGGGGTCACACTGTGATCAAGTCACTTTTTGATTTTCTTTTTGATAAACTAAACAGCTCAAGCTCTTTAGCTTCTGACTGTGAAGCATTTTCTCCAGCCCTCAAATCAATTTTGTGGCTCTTCTCTGCAACCTCGACAATTTTTCAACATCCTTTATATAACATGGACACCAGAACACCTTGCAGTATTCCAGTAAAATCACCTCCCTGCTCCTACTCACAGCTTCCCTGGTTATACCTCCAAAGATGTCATCAGCCCTTTTTGCCACAGTATCACACTGGCAGCCCATGCTATCCACTCAATTCTTTCCAGGGTCACTGCATTCCAGGTGTGGAAAATTGCCAGCACTATTATGATGGGACTCATGCTTTCTCCTCTTGTGGGGGGGTTCAGAGCACCATTTCGAGCCCCTGAACTGGGGTATCAACTGTCCCACTAGTGTCCCAGAGAAGGGGAGTGGAGAAGGAGGGACCCGGGCCCACCCTCTACTCCATGTCCCAGCCCAGGGACCCTAAGGATAGCGGCGAACCACTTGAACTAGTGATTCCTTCCCCTGGGCTACTTCCCTATCTGGCCCTTCAGCTTGTGGGGCTTCCTGCCCTCTCTCCACTTGGGCCAAGTTTCTCCCAACCCCTTGTGTCTGTAGAGTCCCTCTGCACGAGCCGGGTTTCCCTTTACCTAGGGTCCTGGTCTTCTGGCCTGCCACAGCACTTCTCCAAACTGCTCTCTGTTCCAACACCAAACAACTCTGCTTCAACTCCTCCAAACTGCTCTCTGTTCCAACACCAAACCACTCTGCTTCAACTCCTCCAACTGTCTGATTGAAGCGGGGGAGGGGGGGGTATCAGGTGACTGGCTTTAGGTGCTCTAATTGGCTTAATTGGTTTCAGGTGCTCTAATTAATCTGTAGCAGCCTCTCTTCTTTCTACAGGGAATAAGGTTCTCATCATCCTGGGGCTTACATATCTCCCATCGATCACTATCCTGCTGCCCTCTGGCCATGCCCTATCACACAGCATACATTAAAGGGAGTAAGAACTGGCTGACAGATCTCCAAAAGCAGTCATCAGTGGAAACTCATCATCAAATAGGGTGTTTCTAGGGGGGTTCTGCAGGGATCAGTTTTCATCATTTTCATCAATGAGCTGGAAATAAATATAAAATCACTGATGATAAAATTCCCCATTGTGTAGGTGTGGCCTGCATTCCTTGTTCTTAAATTTATAACCTTGCATTTGGCTGTACTAAAAGAGATTTTGTTTAAGAACATAAGAATGGCCATACTGGATCAGACCAATGGTCCATCTAGCCCAGTATCCTGTCTGCCAACAGTGACCAATGCCATTTGCCCCAGAAGGAATGAACATAATAGGACAAATATCAAGTGATCCTTTCCTGACCATCTTGGCTAATAGCCATTGATGGACCTGTCCTCCATGAACTTATCTAATTCTTTTTGAACCCAATATAGATTTGGCTTTCACAACATCCCCTGGCAACAAGTGCAACAGGTTGACTGTGCATTGTATGATGAAATAGTTCTTTCTGTTTGTTTTAAACCTGCTGCCTATTAATTTCATGGGGTGAGCCCTGGTTCTTGTGTTATTGAAAGAGTAAATAATATTTCCTTACTCCCTTTCTCCACACCAATCAGGATTTTATAAACTTCTATTATAAACCCCCTTAGCTGTCTCTTTTCTAAGCTGAACAGTCCCAATCTTTTTAATCCCTCCTCTTATAGAAGCTGTTCCATACCCTTAATATTTTTTGTTGCCCTTCTCTGAAATTTTTCCAATTCTAATATATCTTTTTTGAGATATGGTGATCAGAACTGCAGGAAGAATTCAAGATGTGGGCGTACCATGGATTTATATCGTGGCATTATGATATTTTCTGTCTTGTTATCTATCCCTTTCCTAATGGCTCCTAAAATTCTCTTAACTTTTTTAACTGTCACTGAATATTTAGCGGAAGTTTTCAGAGAACAATTGATGACTCCCGAATCTCTTTCTTGAGTGGTAACAGCTAATTTAGACCCCATCATTTTGCATGTACAGTTGGGATTATGTTTTCCAATGAGCATTACTTTGCATTTGTCAACATTGAATTTCATCTGCCATTTGGTTGCCCAGTCACCCAGTTTTGTGGAATCCCTTTGTAACTCTTCACAGTCAGCTTAATTATGTATTGTCTGCAAATTTTGCCACCTCACTGTTCACCCCCTTTTCCAGAACATTTATGAATATGTTGAACTAGGTCTCAATACAGAAGTAACCTGAATGGGCTCAGGTTACCAAGCAATCCAGATCCCTCTCTATGGCTGCCCTGTCCTCATCATTAGTTACCGCTCTGTCAATTTTTGTGTCATCCACAAATTTTATCAGTAGCTGAATATGAAAATGTTGAATAACATTGGTCACAGTACTGAGCCCTGAGGAACCCCACCAGAAACACCCCTATTCAATGTTGATTCCTCATTGACAACTACTTTTTGAGATCTGTCAGTTAGCCAGCTCTTAGTCCATTTGTGTGTTTTATTGGTATTGTATAGTGCTGATGTGTTAATTAGAATGTCATGTGGTACTGACTCAAACACCTTACAAGTATCTACACAGTTATCCATATCATCCAAACTTGTAATTTCCTCAAAGAATGAAATCAGGTTTGTCTGACAAGATCTATTTTCACAAAACCATATTGACTGGCATTAATTATATTCTGATTCCCTAATTCTTTATTGACTGAATCCTGTATCAGTTTTTCCATCATTTTGCCCAGGATTGATGACAGGCTAACTGCTCTGTAATTATCCATGTCATCCTGCCTGCCCTTTTTGAAAATTTGTACTAAGCTCTAGTATCTGGAATTTCCCTGGTGTTCTAAGATGTATTAAAAGTGAACATCATGGGGCTAGAGATCTCCTTGGCCAACTCTTTAGGGCTTTTGTGTACAAGTTATTCAGGCCTGTTGTTTAACATCCTCCTCAGATACCAATGGATTAAAAAGTACTTATCAGGGACCAAAGGTCTTAAACCCCAGCGTACAGGGGCCTTAGAAGCTAGCAAATTTCAGCCTACTAACAGTTGCCAGAACTGGAAGCTCACCTCTGACAGAGCACTCCAGTGCTGGGATCTAATTAATAGAACTCTGGGGTTCCTGACTGGTTCCCTGCTTCTATTTAAACCAAGCACAGGAACAGGAAGTTGTCTATGTAGCTGGGTTTCCCCTGCTTAGGGTTGCTTCCCTTGCACTACCTGACTCTGGTCTCTTGATAACGTGACCCACCTGTCTCTTGGTTTGCCTTTTGGCCTGTCTCTGACTCTGATCTCCTGGTATCAGCCTGGCTCCTGATTCCTGCTCTGACCACTAGGTCAGACCACCCATGTCGCAGTCATGACAGTATTTCATCTTCCTTATGTGATGCAAGGACATCATCTTGCTTCTTTCTGACTACAGAACCAAAATATTTATTGAACACTTATGTCTGTTCTTAAACATTAGTAACAATTTTACCATTGCTAAGATTTCTTTTGTTACTA